GTGGCATCACCAGCCACGGGCCCAGGCAACTCCAGGATAAGGAAGCGCGTGAGCCCATCCTGCCCTTCTCCAGTGGGAAACCTGGCCTCTGTGCACACTCAGTTCACGCCCTCCCAGTCTCCCCCCACCCCCGCAGTGACCACTGACATGCACTGACCCGCAGGCCGGCATCAATTTCCCACCCCCAGCCCATGACCTGGGTTCCCTCACAGACGCCCACCCCCAAAGCCAAAGGCACCCTCCGACGGTCCCTCCGCCCTGCCCAGGAGCTCCCGCAGCCCGCAGGGACAGCCACGAGGGCGACCCCACCCAGACAGACTGCCCAGGTGAGGGCCTCGCCCGCCCGTCTGCGCGGGCACCTTGCACGCCACCGCCAGCCCCGCAGTCGCGCAGGGTCCCAGTCCACCTGCGGCCCCCTGCCTGTCGCGGGGGTCCGGCAGGCCCACGAGCTCCCCGGGGCTGCCTCCCACGTGACCGGGAGTCGGGGTGACCTGCGTGGGGAGCGGCTGCCCCGAGTTACATAAGCGTTATGTAACGCGGCACCAATCCGCAGCGCCAGGCAGCGAGGGGCACAGCGCCAGGCCGGGTGGAGGGGGGTCGCCCGGCCAGGCCGGAGCCAGGGCCGCCGGCCCGGCCACCCACCTGGCCCTGCCGCTGCCCTTCGCCGGGACGCACCCTTGCCTTGCCCTGCCCTGCCCTGCCCTGCCCTGCCCTGCGCGCCGGCGCCGCGGGGCCGCCCCGCACGGCGTGGCAGGTGAGTGGGGGCGGGGCTGGCGGCGTCGGGGGCGGGGGGCGCGGGCCGCGGGCGGGGGCCGGGGAGGGGGCGCGGCGGGCCGGGGGGCCTCGCCTGCTGCGGAGGGCGCGGCCGGGCCCGTGCGCCGACGGCCGGTGCGTGCCCGTGCCCCCTGCCCCCACGGGGCAGGGGGGCAGGGGGCACGGGCACGCACGGCGTGGCGCACGGGCCCGGCCGCGCCCTCCGCAGCAGGCGAGGCCCCCCGGCCCGCCCGCGCCCCCTCCCCGGCCCCCGCCCGCGGCCCGCGCCCCCCCGCCCCGACGCCGCCAGCCCGCCCCCACTCACCTGCACGCGTGCGGGGCGGCCCCGGGCGCCGGCGGGCGGTCCCGGGTCAGGTGGGCCCCGCGGGGTCCGCGCCCCCCGCTCGGCCGCGGCCGACCACCCTGCCTCCAGCTCCCTCCTGCCCGCCCGACCCTCCGCAGCGCGGGGCCGGGGCCGGAGCGCGCAGGAGCCCCCCGGGGAGGTCGCGAGCACCCCCGCACCGCGGCGCCCCTCCCCGCCGCGCGGGCTCCCTTACCTCGCGGCGTCCCACCCAGGGGGCTTCACAGCGCGCCCCGCGCTCGCGGCCGCCCCCGAGATGCGCAGTCGCCGCCCCAGATGCGCCGCCGCCGCCGCCGCCGCCGCTCGCCTCCCGGGTCCCGGCGCGCCGGTGAAGCCCAGACATGCGCACTCAGGACCGCGCCCCACCCCCGAGAGCAGGCCCCGCCCCCAGGTGCGCTGCCCCGCCCCCGCCCCGCCCCTCCTCTGCCCCGCCTCCTGAAGCCCCGCCCCGCCCCGCCCGTGCTCCGCCCCCTGCGTGCCGCCGCCTGGTCCTGCCCGGCCCCGGACTAGCCCCGCCCCCGCGTCTGCCCCGCCCCCGCGTCTGCCCCGCCCCGCCCGTGCTCCGCCCCCGACACTCCCCGCCCCCGTGTCTGCTCCGCCCCTCTTGTGCCCCGCTCTCCGCGCGCCGCCGCCTGGCCCCGCCCACTCCCGGACAAGCCCCGCCCCCGACACGCCCCGCCCGGCGCCGCGCACGCGCACGCCGCGCCGCCGCCCCGCGGGCTCCCGGGGCTGCTCTGGCCGTGCGCGCGCTCCTGCCTGCGGGGCGCCCCGAGGCCCGTGCGCGTGGCCGCGGCCGCTCGTGGGACTGCGGGGGGGCAGTTTCCATGCCTCGACCCTGGAGAGCTGCCGAGGAGCGCGCCGGAGCGGGGGCGGGGGCGGGGCAGCGCCGCGTGGGGAGGGGGTCGGCAGTGGAGCCCGGGCTTCTGGAAGCCCCCTGGGGACCCCCCGCGCGTCGGGCCCGGTCTTCAGGCCCGCTGGGTTTCGGGGTGACGGCGCCCTGGTGGTGCCCGTGGGCTCCCCGACCGGAGTCGCGAGGAGGCTCTGCGGGGTGGGGGTGTCGCCGGGGGTCCCGCGCGCCCCGCCACGCCCACGCCGCGCGGGGCTCTGGGCCGGGCAGCGGCCTCTCTGCTGGGCCCCGCGCGGGTGGGCCCGCGCCCCCCTTTGCGTCTCCCGCCCGGGCGCGTGGGTCTGTGAAATGCAGCCGCGCGTCCCCAAGCAGCCACGCCACGCCAGAGGCGACTCTAAAGCCCTGGACAAATGTCCGTGGCCCCACCCTCGCCTCCCATCGTCGCCCCTCCTGTTAGGAAGGGACAGCTGACACACGGTCACCGAAAAGCTAGGTCACACTGGTCAAGGTCAGGGTCAGAATGATTCACGCCAAGGTCACGGGATTCACTCCAGGTCAAGGTCGTGAAGTTACTTGCTCCCAGGCTCGGGCCACAGGCTGATTCACTCCCAGATCAAGACCACAAGGTCACTTATCCCCAGGTCCAAGGTCATCCCCTGTGTTCCCCCGCCAAGGTCACAGGCTGACTCATGCCAGGACCTTTCTCCCACCGTGTCCGCTGATAGGGGCAGACTGAAGCCTCCGGGCATCGAAGGACACGGGAGGTCCAGCGTTTTTCAAAGGTCAGGCTGAGGTCGTGCAGCCTGGTCCACAGCTCACTGGTCCCCCTGCTCACCTAGGAGGCATGTGGGGACGGAGGAGGCTGCCATCCTGGCTTTGCACAACGGAGGAGGGAGAGAGGACCGAAGGAGCGGCTGGGTTCCATGTCTGCACTGTCCCCACTGCCCCCACTGTCCATCCCCACTGCCCCCACTGTCCATCCCCACTGTCCCCCACAGTCCATCCTCCACTGTCCCCCACAATCCATCATCCCCCACTGTCCCCCACAGTCCATCCTCCACTGTCCCCCACAATCCATCATCCCCCACTGTCCCCACTGTCCATCCTCCACTGCCCCCACAGTCCACCCCCCACTGCCCCCACTGTCCATCCCCCACTGCCCCCACTGTCCATCCCCCACTGCCCCCACTGTCCATTCCCCACGGTTCTAACTCTCCCCTACTTTTCCGACTCCCAGCTTCTGGCCTGTGTCCCTCTCAGCAGAAGGGGGACAGGGGATGGAGTCGGAGATACCAGGTTAGGTGGGGGGCAGGGCACACACCCTGAGGTCACGGGGCAGATGGGGGCAGGTTGCAGCCTGGTCTCTGTGGTGAAGGGGACGGAGCCCCAGCAGCGGGCCAGCAGGGGGCGCCCGAGCTGCACTCAGTTTCCGGGTCCAGGCGGGATTTTCTTGGAATGGTCCAGGGCAGTGTTCAGGCCCTTGGGCAACACTGTCGGACACACAACATCTATCTGCTCATACACCCACGTGGACACACACGACAGCACCGTTCATACGCACATAGGCACTGTGACACAGCACCTGCTCACGCACACACGTGAACACACAACACAGCACACACATGACACAGCACCTATTTACGGACACAGGGACACACATGACAGCACTGCTCATGCACACACAAAGGCACCATGACGTAGCATCTGCTCACACACACACACACGAGGACACACATGACTCATGGACACGGGGACATACGTGACAGTGCCTGCTCATGCACTCATGTGGACACGTGCTAGCACATGCTCGTGGACACATATGACACAGCATCTGCTTATGCATACATGGGGCACATGTGACAATCCAACCTCATAAACATGCACCACATAACCTGTGAACTTACATGTTCACACACGTCCATGTATTCACTCATATACACATCATACGTGCGATAGCACAGCCATAGGGCATTTGCCTTGCGCGCAGCTGGCCCAGCCATGCCGGGTTCGATTCCTCCACCCCTCTCGGAGAGCCCGGCAAGCTACCAAGAGTATCTCGCCCGCACGGCAAAGCCTGGCAAGCTCCCCGTGACGTATTCAACACGCCAAACACAGTAACAACAAGTCTCACAATGGAGACGTTAACTGGGCCCACTCGAGCAAATCGATGAACAACAGGAGGACAGTGCTACAACTTGTGTACACGTTACACACCACTTGTACACATTACAAACATGTATACATACCTGCATACACACACCACACCGTAAAATCATCTACACACATCATTCACATACCATGCACACGCACGGTACACTCATATACACGCCCGTGTACACACATCACATCCCATTCGCGTGCACATGTACCCGTGAACATATCACCAGACACTCACATTGCCACACACTAATGCGGGCACACGGCCGTTCCACCCTGGGCAAACCCTAGAGGCACTGAAGGTGATGGCCCGCCCGCGTGGCCGGAGGGAGTCACTCGGGCTGAGGCAGCTCCAGCTCTCTCTGCCCCCATCCCGTGGCTCCGGCCCCTGGGGGCAAGACAGGCCCTGTCCCTGCCCGGCACCAACCGCCCTCGAAGGAAGCCAGGGGTGCTCCGGGTGCAGCGCACGGCCACGGGGGCCTCGTTCTGCCGCTGGGCACTCTCCGCAGGGAGAGAGCCTGGGTGCCCCCCTCCCCGAGCCCCCGTCCCTCCCGGCTGCCGTGCTCAGCACTGAGCTCGGGGTGAGGGTGCTCCAGGCAGGGGTGCAGGCGTGGCACGGCGCACGGAGATGGAGACGCCACAGGCTGCAGGGCCGCAGGAGGCTCTCCCCGGGCTCCACCCTCCGGCCTGCTCAGGCCACCCCCTCTGTGTCTGGGGCCTCGGGCCCCCCAGCCTGGGAGGTCAGAGATCGTGGGGGGCATGCCCCTATACCAACAAGGCCTCGCGGCACACAGACACCAGCACGTGAACCTGCTCTTTATTCACACGCGTTCCCCGCCCCCCCCCCCCAATGCCTGTCTCTGGAAAGTTCCACTTCCAGCGGTCACTGAAGGATCACACTCTCCTCTGGAGGGGCTGCGTGGTGTCCTGGTGCGGGGGGGGGTGGCCAGGAGGGGTCTGCTGGGCCTGAGGCACTCAGTCCAGGCGTCGGGACGGGGCCGGGAGCTGAGGTTTGGTCTGGCTGCCCCGACAGGGCGTGTCCACTGGCCCCCGAGGCAGGAAGACAGAAGCCCTAGCCTGGCCAGAGTGGGGGGAGCCCGGGCCAGTGGGGGCTCTGTTCCGAGGCGGGGGTGCAGGAGGGGTCAGAGGTCAGGGTGCAGCCACTGATGACGGGACACTCGGCCTCTGACTACAAGGAGGGAGCACCGTCGTGGGAGCGGACAGGCCCTGCCTCCACGCCGAATTTCCCTCCCCGCCTCGGGAAGCCCAGAACGGAGGCCAGCAGGGGGCACCAGGAGGACCTGGGCTGGCCCTGGGTTACCCGGGAGTGAGGGAGCGGGGGAGAGGCCACAGGCGCAGGTCGGCGGTGCCCTGTCACAGTTCGGTGTCGGCTACGGTGCGTGGCGCCGAGTGCCCATTTCTGGGTGGGGGCTGGCCGTTCTCCTGAGCCCCGCGGCTGGCAGCGGCCTTGGGCGGCCTCTCTGGGGAGGCCCCGGGCCCCACCCCGTTCTCGGTGAAGTAGGGATCTTCACCCTAGATGGGGCATCAATAAAGGCGCAGGCTCAGTGAGGCTGCACGCGGGTGGGCTGGCCTGCCACTGCTCGGAGCGGTGCCCCAGACTCCCGCGGTCTCAGTGCCCCAGACGCCCGTTCCCTGGACTCCCGGGGGCTGCCGAGTGGGGTGTGGGTGTCGGGCGACAGAGAGTGGCTCCCAGGCCTCACACCCCTCTCCCGCCCCTGTCTGGGCACCCCTGACTGACCAGCCGCTCCCCGGCCGGGCTCCAGCTGTGCCGGTTCATCAGGAAGTAGCCAGCAAGGCCCAGGACGGCCAGCAGGAGCCCCGCAGTGACCAGGGCGATGAGAGTCTTGCGGGAGTAGTTCTGGTGGTTGCCCACGTCCTCCTCGGAGAGGCTGTGCACGCCCAGCTGCAGGGACGGCCACGACACTCAGGCACCCGGGGAGCAGCAGGAGAGCAGCCGCCGCACCCCCATGTGCCCCTCAGCGCTCACCAGAAGAGGCCACGTGGGACAGAGGACGCCCCGGCCAGCCCCCACCCCCCACCCCCAGAGAGCTCACCTTCCTCAGGTCAGACTGGTGCTGTCTCAGAACCTGGAGCTTGCTGGTAAGTTCTGGAATCGGAAACATTAGAGAATCGGAAAGAACACCCACACCCATGCTGTCCTGCCCCCGGCATGCGGCGGAGGGGCTGGCGCAGGTTCCCCCCGCCCCCGGCCCTCACCTGTGCTGTTGGCCACAAGCAGCAGCAGGCAGTCGGGGGTGACCTCGGACTGGGCGAGCCGCCAGGAGCAAGACCCTGCCACCGGCTCCCCGGCACAGAGCACTTGGGCCAGGGCCTCGCCACTGTCCCTCCGGAAGTCCTCCTGCGGACAGAAACAGGGTTGGAGAGAGTGGACAGGGTCGGCCAGGACAGACCCCGTCCCCTGGAAGGTCCCGTCTGGGTGAAGGAGCCGCCAACTCTGGCACAGGCAGACCCCTGGGAAGCCGGCGGGCAGCGGGGGCCGGTGGGCATCGTGGTGTGGGGACCCGGCGGCCTGAGCCGGCAGCTGAAGCACCAGCGTGAACTCTGGACCAGCTGGCTCAGGACACAGAACAGGACCCGCAGGCGGGGTACGGGGGCACCGTCCTGTGACTTGGGGGTTTGCACACGTCCTTCCGAGGGCTCACCTGTCGGCCTCAGCACGTGGGCCTGGGGGCGCATCACAGCTCTCCCCGGGGTGGGCCAGGCTGCAGGCAGGTGACAGTGGAAGTGCTCCCCTGCCCAGCAAGCCCTGGGGTCCATGCCTGGTGGCCCATTCCCAGGAGATGTCTATGGCCAGTGACCAGCCCAGCTGGACCTCAGGGCCGCCCCCCCCCCCCCCCACTGCTAAGAAGAGCAGGAAGGTGCCACTGATCCCCCCCCACTGCGAGGCCCAGCCTGGCTGTGGCTCAACTTCCAGCCACGGCTGCAGCTTGACCCGGTGCGGAGGCCCTTGACCCGCTGACCTCCCCAGTCACACGGAGCCAGTGTCCACGAGGAGCATCTGAGGAAGGCTGCGTGCTGTGGCTGGCCCACCCCCAATCCTGCCTCCCCTCCGGCCTGTCCTGAGCCCTCTGACACATGCTGTGTCCTGGCCACACCCGCATGTACGGGAGACGCAGACTCCCACGTGGAGTCCAAGGTCAGGCCCCTAGTGTTCCACTGTCACCGCTGCCCAGAGGTGGTGGCGCCTGGGAGGTGTCCACCTGAGCGAGTGTGCACCGTGTGTCCTGCACGTGTGTCCCATGACAAAGGTATCCAAAGCACACGTGCCAAGCAGCCGTGCGTGTGTGGCTGTATGGACATATGCCACGTGTGTGCCCTTTCTATGACACGCGCAGGTGGGCCAGAGGACACGGGAGCACACATCGTGTTAAGTGTGTGCTATGAACGCACTGTGTCATGTGTGCCTACATAATACCAGGTGCCACTGTGTGCACATCACACGCACACACCCTGCCATGGGCACACAACAGTGCACACGAGTCATGTGCCTCATGCATGCAATGTGGTATGTGTCACTTGTGCGCGTGCGTGAGTGGTGTGTCTTGCGAGTGTCTGGTTAGTTGAGGGCTCTGCTGGTGGGCATGGGAGGCCCTTCTCTCCAGTACTGGGCCAGGCTAGCCGTCACCTCCTCTGACCCAGACTCCAGGAAAACAGCAGCGTCCTCCGAGGACAGCCTTGCCCCAGGCCCCCAGCACTCCCCCCCTCCCCCCTTCCCCCCTCCCGTCCAGGTGCTTCCAAAGTGCAGTCTTGGAAGCGGAGATCAGCATCCCAGGGGCCCAAGACGGGGAGCGGCCACGGGAAGAGGTTCATGGATGCGAGCGTCCAGCCTGGACACACAGAGGGACAACGTCCATGGCTAAGACGCAGGCAGGAAGCATGTAGAATGCTGGGCGAAGGGCCCGCCCAGAGTCAGTGAAGCTCACGTCGAAAGGGGTCCCCCAGCTGGCCCAAATCCCGGTCCTCCTCGGGGTGGGGGGCAAATGGTGACCCTGGCAGGACTGCAGAGCCCAGGACCCTGCAGGCACTCTGTGGCATCAGACCCCGTCAGGTTCAGAGAAAGGTGCTCCTGGCTCCATCCCAAAACACCTGGCCGCCTGCCCCCACCTCTCTGGTCAGCAGGGAACCTGAAATGGCACCACGACCATGAGTGGGGGGGGGAGGCGGGGCGGGGCGGGGGTGCTGCCAGAGAGCAGAGGGCTCTGCAGGTGCGAAGTCCAGTGACCAACCCAGCGAGTGTGGACGGAGAGGAATGAGGAACACTCCTATGCTCTGAGCAGAAGGGAACTAGCTGTAGCCGAAGCCGCAAAAGCAACTGCCAGGCAGGTTCCGGGGTGTAGCTGGAAGAGAGGGACCCCAAGCTGGAGGGCGGCTGGGGTGCAGCTTCAGCACCGCGGCTGAGGGCTCAGCCGACTGCCCCCCATGGGTGGCTCACGGGAAGGGGCCCAGGCGTGCCTGACCCGCACGTTCCTGTGCCCAGTCCTTGGCCACTGTTAGGGTTCTGGCTGAATTTTCACTAATGCGTACAGCAATTTCTTCCAGGAAACGGACATGGACAAGAGATTGGTCCACTCCAGCGGCATCAGCAAGTCCGGGAAATGTGTGCTGCTCCCCCAGTGCTCAGCAGCTTCGGGTGCTCGAGGATCGGTCATCCCCAGCCCCCTCGGGGGTGTGCACCCGTGCAGGACCCAGGGGGGAGCAGAGGAGGCGGGAGGGGAGCTGAGTGTCCACACGGGGCTGTCCTTTCCACCAACCGAGCCCTGGAAGGCCACCGGGACTTCAGGGACACCCTTGGCGGGGGCTGTGCTGGTGGACAGAGGTGACAGCGCAGCAGCCTCAGGAGCAAAGTGAGACACGCACGTGCCCGCAGGGTCGGGCAGGGGGCCTGAGCCAGGCTCCATGCACGGGGCAGGAAGGGCACCCCGGAAGGAGCAGAGCTCAGGTCCCTGTCTGCCCCTCAGGCCCCACACGGAAGAGTGCTCCTGCACTCAGGGACACAGACCCACCTGACCAGGGGACAAGGGGACAGTGGCCGTCCGGAGCACGGGCAGTGCTCTGAAGGTGAGGCGAGATGGACCCGGGAACTCTCCCCGTGCACACCTCCACGAGTGGTCGCATGAACGAACCCTCTGTTCCGTGGCTCCTCAGGCCACCAGAGAGGTCGGGCGCCACCGGGACTGGCGGGGGGCCTCGAGGATGGCTCCCTTCCTGCATCCCTCCCCAGAGGCTCATTCCCAGCCAACGGGAGCCCCCAGCAGAAGGCTCGGCCCCTCCGCCACGGGAATCCCTAGCCCCCAAATCCGAGATCCACAGCAGGTGGGAGAGGGGCTGGACCCTGAGGGAGAAGCCTCACGTGTTGTCATTGTCTACTAAGCCGAAGGCACCCGAGAAGGGGAATGGGACAAAAAGAGGCCAGCCCTTCCTGCACAGGCGGGCGCTCAGCCCTGAAGCAGCAGGGGTGTGGTGTGTGGAGGCAGGCAGGGTGGAGGGATGTGGGATGGGGTGGGTGGGCACAGTGGGGCTTACACAGCTGGCCGTCTCGTTCCGTCTCAGGCAGATACTGTGGCCGGCTCGCACCTCCTTCACATGGGAACACCGGATTTCCCCCTGGGTGGGAACAGACACTCAGCCGTGGCCTCCCTAAGGGAAGGGGGTCCCGCTCTCTGCACCCCAGCCCTCGGGCCGCCAGCCTGCAGCACCTGGCTCGCAGGCAGAGACCCCGGCTGGGGGCAGGCGGGAGGGGCCCCCCCAATCCCCCGCTGGGCGAGCCCTGGACCTCAGCAGTGCAGAGGTGGGAGGAAGGGGGGAGGGTGAGCAGAGCCAGACGGCCTGGGGCCCCACTCGCCTCCCTCAGCCGACACCCTTCACACCAGCCTGCTCTGCCACTCACTCACACACACACATGCATACGCGCACACACGCACACACGCACACACCACGAACACGCACACACGCACACGCACACACATGCACACGCACACACATGCACACACACACAAACACGCACACATGCACACATGGACATGTACGCACATGCGCACGCACACATGCACACATGCACATGTACGCACACACGCGCGCACACACCTGCACACACACGAACAGGCACACGCACACATACCACGAACACGCACACATGACACATGCACATGTATGCACACACGCGTGCACACACATGGACACACACGAACACACACCACACGCACACATGCACACGCACACAGATGCGCACACACGCACACACACACGCACACACGTGCACACAAATGCACACATATGCACACACAGGTGCACACACATGCACACACATGCACACACATGCAACACACACACACAGCGCGCACACACACACACAACACACACACCCTGCATCTCAGCGAGCCTGCTGTGTCCACCCTGGCCCTGGCTCTGCACATGGGCGGCCAGCCCACTGCCTCCAGTCCCAGGGCTGTGCCAGTTCCAGCCTCACGAGCCACAGGCTCGGTCCGAAGCCTGTGGGAGAAGCAGCCCACTGAGTCGGGGACTCTCGGCCCTGGGGAGGCCGGCGAGCAGAGGGGGCCAGCAGAGGGCCCCCACGCCCAGAAAAGCAGCCCCTGCCTCCGCAAGGGGGGCCACACGTCCCACCCCTGGCTGGGAGGAGGAGGTGGCCCAGCAGATCTGGAAGAGGCACAAGAGGGGGCGTGAGGTAAACCGAGGCATCCTCCAGAACAGGCTCACCCACCTTGATGACATTTACGGTAGGGGAAAGCGATGTCTGGAGGTCCAGGAGGGGCACCTCAGGGCTTGTGTTGTTGTCCGGGTGGGCCACGGCAGTTCCAGGGGACGTGCTGGGCTCTGGAGTCACCTCCGTGGTCGCAGAGTTGTTCGGGGCAGAGGAGGGTGTGCCGGCGGAGGAGGTCTGAGTGGGAGACGCCCCAGTGGCAGGGACCAGTGTGAGCCCAGAGGCAGCCGAGGTGCTGGCAGCAGCATCTGAGAGGAAACAGAACACGTGTGTGTGCGCACGTGCACACAGGCACACACCACACACGTGTGCGGATTCTTGCAAGGACACACAGGGCCCGTGAACACATGCAGCAGGTAAATGTGCACATAGTGGACAAACACACAACACATTCTCCCACGTGGCAGGCGTACCGTGCACCCATGATGTGTGTGCACAACCATGTATGCACATGCAGTGGGCACAAGGGCACACACATCTACACACGACACCCTTGGGATTCATGTGCAGTGGACATTCACATGCTCACATTCACACACATGCACGGACAGCAGGGACACATGGACACACGTGACAGTCACGAGGCACACACAAGCACACCCCCTTGTACATGCACACACCTCGCTCACAGGGACACCCGAAACCAGAAAGGCCAGTGTGCGCTCACCTTCACACGATGACCACGCCATGACTCAGACTTTGACTGACCGCCCCAGCCCCCAACTGGCTCCCTCTCGGGAGGGTCACGGCACAGCGACCAGAGGGGCCTGGGAGGGGACCCGAGAGGGGGCCTGGGAGGGGGCCGAGGGGGGGCCTTCCAGCGCAGCCTGCAGTGCTGCCCACCCGTCAGTGACCTGCTGGACCCACACTGCAGATCCCAGGACCCTGCCGGCCCCCCTCAGTGCCGCTGGCCGCGTCGCGCTGGCCCGTACCTGTGAGTGCAGACGTGGTGCCACTGCTCCCCTCAGCCACGGGGGGCGAGCTGGTGTCCCCAGGAGGGCTGCTCGGAGGAGGAGACGACGGCAGTCTGGGCTGGAGCGACAGAGCTGTGGGAGACGCCTGCACGCTGGAGGATTCGCTGGCCCCGAGCGTCGTCACGGCGTCCAGCTCCTCCCCTACAGCAGAGGCTGCAAGACAGGGAAGGTCACCCCGGGGCAGAGCCCCAACACAGCACCCGCTCCCAGCCCTGGATCTGAGCCCTGGACTCAGACTGCAACAGCCCCCCTGCCCCCCATCTCCCGTTACTGTAGGCGCATACCCCTCCCTGAGCCCCGTGCCCTGCCCTGTCCTGCCACTCACCCCGGGTGCCACCTCTCCTGCACTACACTCCATGGATCAGAAACCCCGCATCTCGCCCAGATTGCTTCTCGTTCCCTTGGGAAGTCCCGGCCTTTTCTCCCAGTCACCTCCAGGTAAGGGGGTCTGCGCGTCCTGGGAGCTGTCGCAGGAAGGCCCAGGCAGGGGTCTGCAGCTCGTGAACCCCTGCAGTTTGGGTCACGAGAGGGGTGTGGCTGGGCCCCTCTGCACACGGGGGTGGGGGGCTGGCGTCCATGGCTGGGAGGACCCCTGCTGCAGGGACCAGGTTGGGGAACCGGGGCAGATGGCAGGACCTGAGGGACCCTCACGGGAGTGATTTGTGACCTGAAGCATTAAGAGATTGTTGGGTCTCTGCAGTGCTCTGAACCACCTCAAACGTGTGGGTGCACGCATGTCCTGCCCATGAATGTGGGGTGCTGTGCTCTGGCCACAGACATGGGTGCACACATGACCTGAGTCATGTCCCAGGGTGCTGTCCCTACAGAAAGGCCCTGGAGGTCCCAGACCCCTTCAGCTAGTCCCCAGGTCCTCACGGAGTATGGCTGGGCCTTTGGGGGTGCCAGGGGCCTCTCGGGGCAGGAACCCAGGGGCAGTGTCAGGCTGGGGTCAGAGGAACAGGGGGTCGTAAGAACAGCAGGTGGGCAGGTGGGAGTACCGCATTTGACCCCCACGCTCGGGGGGGCTGCATCTCTCGCTCCTGAGCCGAGGGGGCGATGCCTACACCCCCCGTGAGACCCCGTCCGCTGAGGGATCTCAGACGAAGCAAACAAGAGTGTGCCCAGCAAGGTGACGGCAGGTGTGACCTCCTCGCCCCCAACCCCCCCCCCCCCCACACACACACACACACAGAGCCAGGGACTAGCCATGCACTACAGAACCCAGAACAGCAAATCCCCACAGGCTCTGGCGGACACAGGAAACACCCACCTCCCCCATGACCCTGGGCTGAGTTCGAGCTGGGATGTTGGAGACCCCGAAACAGGCATGGACGGGACAGGTACTGGTGTGTGTGAGCTGGACAGGGCCCCTGTCAGGCTTCGGGTCACCCTGGCCAGAACACAGGAGGGCCACAGGGCCACAGCGCTGGTGACTCCATCACAGTGCAGGGCCCACATGGGGACCAATGGGCAGATCAGAGTCTTTCTGCTCCTCAAGCGACCCAGACCTGGAGTGCTCTGGCCAGAGCACCTAAGTAGCAGGAGTCCTGCTCCCTCCCCTCACCCTGTCCCAGTGCATCTGCAGGACTGGCAGGAGAAGGTGCGGGGGGGGGGGGGGCTCCCAGAGCTGGGGCACCCCTAGTCAGGGTGACAGCTGCTGCTCTGGAGCCCAAGGCTTGAGCTCGTCCTGAGAGCGGCATCTGGGCAAGCAGCCTCCAGGGCCAGAGCCGCTGCTCACGGGAAAGGCTACGGCCCACGGAGAACCCGGGGAGGGCGAGACACACAGTCCCAAAGCCTTGGTCACCCTGGAGCACTGCCCACTCACCCACGACAGCCCCCAGGAGCCCAGGGAGTCCTGGCACCCTTCTCAGGAGCAGGAGGGTCCCAGAATCACCTAAGCACACTCCAAAGAGGCCTGAAACGTGCTCTCAAACACATTTCAAACACGCTCCAAATATGCCCAAGCAGGCCTGGGACGGGGCCTTCCTGAGAGGCAGTCGCCCAGCCTCTGAGCAGAGGGTGGTCACTCGGGGCCACCCCACACAGGACACGAGCAGGACTGGAATAGGATGTGGTGGCACCTGCCCTCTGCGTGACTGACCGGGGTCTGTCCCCAGGACGGCACCTGGCCCCGCCCCTTCAGATCCCAAGCGCCACCGGAGGGACCCAGCACCCACAGAGGGACACACTAAATCACTGCTGGCGGGCTGAGCACCACCAGGAGGGCCCAGGTCTCCTGAGCACCACTAGGGAGCCCCCCACGCCCCAAAGCGAACCAGGAAAACCCAGCAGGGCTGAGGAGGGTGAGCTGGAAGAGGGCCGAGGTCCCGGAAGGGGAGTCCTGTCTTTCCGGGAGCACGGGCACACAGAGTCTGGGCCACGCTGCTGCGAAACACACGTGACATCACGCCTCAGGCACACAGGCTCGGTGGGACCCGCACCCTGCTCCCTAGTGCCTTCCTCGGGGTGGGCCCTGTCTGTCCCCGCCAGGCAGCCACACCCTCACCCAGGCCCAGGACACAGCAGCTCGGCCGCTCTCCACTGGCCGCTCCCCCCTCCCCAGGCCTGGACTGGACCCCGGCTGGACCCCAACTCTCCCGGCGTGCTCCCCCTCCACACCCACGGCCCCCGCAGCCGCCAGCTTCTCGCCACGACTGAGGAAGGTTGGCCTCAGTTCCCGTCTCCAGAGTCCCAGGGCTTTGGGGAACTCCCCCACCTCTCCTGGAGGGGACGATCCCTTGCTCCCCCCCCTCCGAGAAGTGAGCCCCTGGGGAAGTGGCGGTCCCTGTTTCCAGGCCTGGGGGCTCCCCGAGTACAGGTCTGGGGAAGGGAGCTCAGCCCTGCAGACCAGCCCCGAGCGAGCGAGCGAGTGAGGGAGCGGCTGGCTGGGTGGGCCAGTCCCTCCCCGAGGGGAGAGGGAACTTTTGTCTCCAAGAGGATTTCTCTGCCAGACTTGGCACTCCCGCCCCCAAAGCCTGGAGCTAGAGCCCTGCAGCGAGGCCAGCAGGGCGATGAGGGCACCCTTCCGACCGCCTTGGTTAGAGGGGCCCTCACTCAGCCGATCCAAAGGGTGGAGTCGCTGGAAAGTATCTGATAAAATTCTTTTCCTTTTCTTTCCTCCACTCCGACATGTGACCCCAGACAGGATATGGGTGTGGGAGCAGCAGCCCCAAGGATGGAGAGGAAGAGGAGGAATGTGAAGTGAGGCTCCCGGAGGGGGCGGGCTGCAGCAGGCGAGGGAGGACTCCCAAGGGCCAGTGGGGGTCCCCAAGCCTGACTCTGGCCCCTTGGGTGGGGGGCTGTGGATCCCCACCTCACACAGAAACTCAGAAAGCTCCGAGGTGCTGCCAGAGGTGATAGCACAGCAGGAGGGTGTCTGCCTTGCACGGCCGACCCGGGTTCAATTCCCGGCATCCCATATGGTCCCTGAGCACCGCCAGAAGTAATTCCTGAATGCAGAGCCAGGAGGAACCCCTGTGCATCACTGGGTGTGACCCCCCCCCCAATAAAAGAAAGAAAATTTTGAGGGTGTGAGTGGCAGGAGCTCACAAACCCCATCTCGGATCACAAGGGTCCCACAGGCATCTCACAGTCCCCCAGACACCCCAAGATCCCCAATGAACCCCAGGGCCTCCCAGGTACCCCAGGATCTCAAGGCACCCCAAGATTCCCCGGACATCCCAGGAAAGAAGGAGAACCACTTGTGCCAGGACATTCATGGGGGCTGAGAATTGGGACCACCCGTCCCCCCAAGCCCTGCATGGAAACCCAGCCTGAGCAAGGCCGGCAGTGCTGGAGCCGGGCAGTGTGGGGAGCGGCCTGACCCGGGGAGCACTCCGAGGGACCACTCAGGGGCCGCAGCCTCTGTCCACGGGGAGGGGAGTCGTCCCGGCCCGTGGGGGTGTGGTTGTGGGGTGAGGTCAGAGCGGGCGCAGGGCTTCGAGGCTGGGCGGGCGCCAGGAGCAGACGCGCATCACCCGGCCTTAGAGACCTGGGGACGGAGGGGCTGGGGAGCCGGCCCGGGCGGTGGGGATGGTGCGTCCAGCCCCCCTCCCCCGCCCCCGGTCCCTCGCTCCTCCGCCCGCCCGCGAGGACGCGAGGGAGACGCGGGCCAAGGGGTGTCCTCCTCCCGGCCCGGCCCGAGAGCCCCAGCTCGGAGGACGCCCCCAAGGTAGCCAGTAGAGGGGACCCCGCGACAGCGCAGCGGGCAGGGCGCTCTCCGGGCACGCGCGGGAGACCCGCACCCCATGTGGTCCCCAGCCCGGGGTGAGCCCTGAGCATCGCCGGTGCGTCCGGACCCCAAACCGAACCGAAGGAGCGGGTGTGGGCGCGGCTCCACCTCGGCGCCACGCTCCGGGGCCGCGGGCTGCGCCCACCCGGCTCAGAGCGGCGAAGCCCCCTCGGCCGTCGGGGCGCCGAGCGCGCACCCCGGACGCCCCGCGACGCCCCGCCACGCCCAGAGACCCCGGGACCCCCGGCGCCCCGCGTGCCCCGACACCCCCCGACCCCCGACGCCCCGCGACCCCGGCCCCTCGCGCCCCCCGCGCCCCGCGCCCGCGCCACTCACGCAGCAGCGCCAGCAGGCACAGCGCCGCCGTCCAGCCCCGCGTCCCCGCGCGCCCCAGCATCGCGCCCGCTGCGCTGCGCCCGGCGCCCCCCGAGCTGCTCCCGCCGCCCGCCCCGCCCCTGCGCCGCCCCGAGCCGCGGGGGTGGCGCCAGCCCGCCCCGCCCCGCCCCGCCCCGCCCCGCCCCTCCGGCCACGGGCAGTATCCCCGGAGACCCCCGGGAGGCTAGGGGACCCGCGCAGCCCCGCGCACGCAGTCCCGTCGGCAGCGCGCCAGGCGTTGACTTAGCTAGAGGGTCTTCCTGCGCGCCCCCTCATCCCTTGGCGTGGCCGGTCACCCCGCTCCTACGAGGCCGACCTCCCTGGCTCCCGCTCTGGAAGGCAGAGCCGAGACTTCCTTAACTCCACCTGCTGCTGCCTGCAGGGCCTGGTGTGCCCTTGTGTGGGCTCTGATCAGGTCAAGTCAGGAGTAGTGGTGAGCAGGGGAGAGGCAGGGAGGGATGGAGAGAGGTGGGGAGGGGAGGGGAGAGGGAGGGGAAGGGAAGGGAGAGGCAGGGAGGAAGGGATGGAGAGAGGTGGGGAGGGAAGGGGAGAGGCAGAGGAAGGGAAGGGAGAGGGAGGGAAGGATGGAGAGAGGTAAGGAGGGATGGAGAGAGGTAGGGAGGGATGAGAGAGAGGTGGGGAGGGGAGGGGAGAGGCAGAGGAAGGGAAGGGAGAGGCAGGGAAAGGGAAGGGAGAGGGAGGGAGGGATGGAGAGAGGTAAGGAGGGATGGAGAGAGGTAGGGAGGGATGAGAGAGAGGTGGGGAGGGGAGGGGAGAGGCAGAGGAAGGGAAGGGAGAGGGAGGGAAGGATGGAGAGAGGTAAGGAGGGATGGAGAGAGGTAGGGAGGGATGAGAGAGAGGTGGGGAGGGGAGGGGAGAGGGAGGGGAAGGGAAGGGAGAGGCAGGGAGGAAGGGAAGGGAGAGGGAGGGAGGGATGGAGAGAGGTAAGGAGGGATGGAGAGAGGTAGGGAGGGATGAGAGAGAGGTGGGGAGGGGAGGGGAGAGGCAGAGGAAGGGAAGGAAGAGGCAGGGAAAGGGAAGGGAGAGGGAGGGAGGGATGGAGAGAGGTGGGGAGGGAAGGGGAGAAGCAGAGGAAGGGAAGGAAGAGGCAGGGAGGGATGGAGAGGGGTAGGGAGGGATGAGAGAGAGGTGGGGAGGGGAGGGGAGAGGCAGAGGAAGGGAAGGGAGAGACAGGGAAAGGGCAGGGAGAGGGAGGGAGGGATGGAGAGAGGTGGGGAGGGAAGGGGAGAAGCAGAGGAAGGGAAGGAAGAGGCAGGGAGGGATGGAGAGGGGTAGGGAGGGATGAGAAAGAGGTGGAGTGGGGAGAGGCAAGGGAAGGGAAGGGAAGGGAGAGGCAGGGAGGGGTGGGAGGGGCAGGGAAGGGAAGGCAGGGGAGAGGCTGAGAAAGAGAGAGCAGAGGCAGGGTGACCGCAGGGTCATTTCCACTCCAGATGCAACCTACGGTTGGGTTGATGATGGGGCAGAAGCCGTCTCCAGTCTCCTGGTCTGTGGCTGACCCAGGGGCAGAAGCTCTCAGAGGCCAAGATGGCAGCACAGGTGTCTCAGACTGGGTGGGGACCACAGGGCCCCCCAGGCCTCGGGTAGGTGAGGGGGCTGCCAAGGCTCCTAAGACCAGAGACTTTGGCTGTGGGAGTGGACCACCCCCCCTTCCCATCCCCAGCTGCCAGGGACCCCCCGTCCCGGCATTCGGAGCTCCTGGACGTGGGTGCTGGTTTGCCCCCTCATCCAGACCCCAGTCTGGCTCTGGGTGTGCTCAGGCCGCCGTGCCTCTGTGAGAGTGTGGAGGGGATCAGGGCCGTGGCTGCCAGGCAGGGGAGACGTCTCCCTCAGCCTCTCTCCACGCCGGCTCTGCTCGCTGGGGCTGGACCCAGCCTTCTAACAGCAGGTCCGAGAGCGGAGCACAGAGGTGTCAGTGCCTGTGACAATCCCATCGTGGTATGAATCTGTCTCTTTTTGGAGGGCCACTCGGGCCCACTCCTAGCTGCGTTGGGGAGTCTACGTGCTGCCAGGGATCGACCCAAGGCCAGAGCTCTGCCTGCTGTCCCGTCTCTTCAGCCCTGAACTGTCTTTTGCGGGATCTGTCTGAGGTGGCGGGCAGCCCGATTCACCTCTAGAGAGAGTTGCTCTCGGCTCTGTCTCCAGGAGGGTCTCTGCAAGCCCCTCACTCTCCTCCTGCCCTTCGCCTGAGTCACGGCTGCAGCTTGCAGCCTGGCAAGAACTCCCAGCCCTGGCCTGGAGCACGCGCCCCCACCTGCACTCCCCCTGGGCGCCTCAGGACAGCCGGGCTGAGGGTCCACAGAGCCTCATTCCATCCCTGACTGGCTGGAAGTGCCCCACGGTGATCCCAAGGGCCCCTCTTCCATCTCGAGCTGGAGCCAGCTTCCTCCTGGGCAGGCACCAGTTTCAGGCATGCGGGTTCACTCTGGGGCACACCGGCTGGTGCAAGTGCACGAGTGTCCACGTCCCCCTCGGGAGGCCTGAGTGTGGGGCGGGGGCCCAGGGGTGGCCGTGTGTGAGCTGCAGCTGCGTCCCCATGGCGCTCGGAGCGCGCTCTGCATTTGCAAGTTGGTGTGCGTTGCTCTTACACTTGCCTAGGACACCGTGATCTCCTCCAAGCTGCCCTCCTGGAAACCCGCAACTCGTGGCATCAGCCCACAGCCATGGCCACTGAGGCCACTGTGCCACTTGCTGTGGTCTCCCTCCTCCTCCTCAGGCGTGTTCAGAGCCCTCTTCTCCGGGCTGACTGTGGTGGACACCCAGGCCTGAGGTCACATGCCCGGGGGCGGCCCCTTCATGGGAGCAGAATCGCTCCTTCCTGAAACCAAGCCGGTCCAGGCCCCACAACCAGCCCACGTCCGCGGGGTCTTCTGAAAGGGGCCAAGAAAGGGCCGACTCAGAGCCCCTTGGACCCACACCCACTCTGCCAGGGCAGCTTCCAGGTGACACACTGGTGAGGGCAGGGCAGGCTCCACGGGATGCAGGAGCTCTGGTGTGGGAGAGGCTCAGGGAGGGGTGGTGAGCGGGACCCATGGTCCACACATACGCCCATGTCATGTGACATGGCCACACACTCGGCTCACGTGCACACGTGTTCATGCACATGTGCCAATGCGCACGTGCTCACACTCACACACACGTACACACAGCCACACTGTACACATGCACGTGTTCACACAAACACATGTTCGCATACATGATCACAGGGATCACATGTGCTCGTCCAGGCACTCAGCTCAGCCCTGCACACACATCGGCAGACATGCTCAGACATGCTCAGCCACACACACATGTTCACGTGTGTCCATATTCATACATGTGTGCCCGTGCTCACAAGCACACACTCTCCAGGAGCCTTGGATGCCACCTGGTGCCGCCGCCCGAGCCCCCCACGCCGTCCCCCTCAGACCCTGAGCCTCTCCAGACCCAGCCCCACCTGCAGCTTGAGAGCAGCCTCCCCCCACCCCTGTCTGTGTCTCCCCCCACCCCGTCTCAGTCTCCCCCCACCCCTGTCTGTGTCTCCCCCCACCCCGTCTCAGTCTCCCCCCACCCCTGTCTGTGTCTCCCCCCACCCCATCTCAGTCTCCCCTCACCCCCCACCCCCGCCTCAGCCTCCCCCGACCCCCATCTCAGTCTCTCCTTCCATCCCTTTCTGGGCCAGTCTCCCTCCCACTCTCCATCGAGCCCAGGTTGGTCCAGGAAGCAGCTTGTTTTCCGGGTGCTGGGGAGTTGCAGAGAGCGGGCAGTGGGGGAGGGAGAGCAGGCAGGACCCTTCCCCGCTTGAGGGTGCAGCTTCTAGAAGGGTTCCTGTGTCTGGCTGTGCCGACTCAGGAGACCCCCCCACCCCCGTCCTCTGCTGGCTGGTGCCCCTCCGTGGGGAGGCTGAGTGTCCACACACTGCCGCCGGGGGGCGGGGGGGGGGACTGGGCCAGGGCGTGGCTGCAGGAGAGGGACAGGGAGCCAAGAGGAGGCCGAGGGCTGGGCGGGCAGCTGAGTTGTCTCCTAGGGACAGGCCTTGGAAACGGAGCTTCCTCTGGAAATTTCCAGGCCGGGAGGCTTTGGGGAGCTGCGTGCAGCCGGGGGCCAGGCCTTCAGCCGGGGTGAGGGTGAGGCTTCTGCCCGGGCCGCCTTGGCGCCGAGAGTGGCTCCGCTCTCCTCTTTAACCCCGAGCTGCAGCGGGCTGGGCGAAGGCGCAGATGGACCCCAGCTGTGGGCACGTCTGGCCTGCAGGGACGGCGGGAAGGGCTGGCCGCTCGCAGGAGGCCACCCTGTAGGCCTGGGTCCAGAGCTGGGGTGGCGGCCGCGGCCTGTCCGGCTTGGACAGACTTCATGACTTCGTCTGTGGTGCCGCCCTCCCAGCTGCGGGTGGGTGGGGAGGCAGGGGCCAGCAGCTGCTTTCCAGATGTGCTTCCTGCAGCCCGAGTCCACTCCCCGCGGAGGGAGTGGGGCCTGCGGTCTGCGCAGAGTCCAGCAGGAAGCGCAGGCTGGACCCAGGGTCACCCGGGCGCAGCCCCCAAACTGCCTGGCCAGGCCCCCTCCCGAAGGCCAGACACGGGCCCCCTCCAGGGCTGCAGGCAGGGTGTCGGCCGGTGAGTGCCTGCGTGCACACGTGTCTGTTCAGGGCAGGTGCACCAAGGCCTGTACTGCGAGGGTGAGCATGCACTGTGTGTGCACGTGCGTGCGTGGGCAAGGGTGGGCGTGTGGGAGATGCGTGTGCATATCAGTGTGATCATGGCTATGCAGGCTTAAAAATATATATGAGGGTGCAGGCATACACGCCTATCACATAGGCATGTACACACATGTATTCACATGCATGAACACGCAGTCTGCTTACGTCGAATGGCACATGTGGGTGTGTGTACACACATGTACACAACATGTGTGGACCCGCGAGCACATTCATGCCTGCGTACACATGTGGGCACACAAAAGGGCCTATGTACACGTGCATGAGCCTACACATCTGTGCTGTGTACACCTCTGCACACATGAGCACACCGTGAT